CCCCTGTGCCCTAGTGTCACTGATCCCGCACAGGTTCGAGTCCTGCCGACGACGGGTGCAGCGTTCCACTGTTAGCAGGCCAGGTAACATTTGTTTCACCCAAGTGCCACCGGCAAATTCATTCTCTGATGGATTGTTAAGCAAAGCTTCAGGTATTGTCTGCAGAAACATACCATTAAATGAAAGGCATTGTCTCACAAGTGGTTCTGGTGGTGGACTAGAAATCCATTGCGTTCTCCTTGCGCCAGTTCAAAATCATACTGTTAGCAGGCGTGCAACATTTGTGTGATCTCAGTGCCAGTCGATAACATTTGCTTTCTGGTACCGTTTAGCAAAAGCTTCAGGTAATGTTTGCAGAGTTATACAATCCCAACAGGTGAAGGGGATGTAGCTCAGTGGTAGAGCGCATGCTTTGCATGTATGAGGCCCCGGGTTCAATCCCCGGCATCTCCAAGACCTTCTTGGTTGTCCAGAGATAATCGTTTTACCTAGATAGATCACAAAATCTTGTCGACTGAACGACCGATAGACTTGAAGCTGAACAGAATGCGTTGTTGTGGCCGAGTGGTTAAGGTGGTGGACTGGAAATCCATTGGGGTCTCCCCGCGCAGGTTCGAATCCTGCAGTCAACGGGTGCGCAGTTCCACTATTAGCATTGTGCCAAATTTATTTCACGCTTGTGCCTCCACTTACTGTTAAATTAAGTGAAAGGCATCTGCCTCAGTGATAAATGAACAAGGTTAACTAGTGGTTGAAGTTCACAGAGTGGAACTCCATTGGGGTCTCCCTGTGCATGTTCAAATCCTGCTGACAATGGCTGCACCGTTACGTTATTAGCAATGTGCAAAATTTGTTTCGCCACTGTGCCCCCACTACCCTAGTGCCTTCACTACAGCGTTCACTGCCTTTCACTTACTGCTAAAATTTGTTGTCTAGAGAGAATCGTTTACAAATACTACTGTTAGCAGGAGTGCAACATTTGTGTAATCTTACTGCTAGTCGATAGCATTTGTTTTCTGGTACAGTTTAGTAAAGCTTCAAGTATTGTTTGCAGAGATACACCGCAGTATCAGGAGAAGGGGGTGTAGTTCAGTGGTACAGCGCATGCTTCGCATGTGTGACGCCCCGAGTACAATCCCCGGCATCTCCAAGATCTGCTCAAAATCCTCTGTTGTCTAGAGACAACCTTTTCACCCAAATAGATCACAGAATCTTGTCCCAACCGTTGTCGTATTTTATTGTTTGAACGACTGATAGACTTGAAGCTGAAGAGCACGTGATGTTGTTGCTGAGTGGTTAATGTGATGGACTAGAAATCCTTTGGGCTCTCCCTGTGCACGTTGGAATCCTAGTGACAACAGTTGCACCGTTCCATTATTAGCAGGCCGGGTAACTCTGTGCAAAATCTGTTTCACGCTAGTGCCCCTGTGCCCTAGTGTCACTGATCCCGCACAGGTTCGAGTCCTGCCGACGACGGGTGCAGCGTTCCACTGTTAGCAGGCCAGGTAACATTTGTTTCACCCAAGTGCCACCGGCAAATTCATTCTCTGATGGATTGTTAAGCAAAGCTTCAGGTATTGTCTGCAGAAACATACCATTAAATGAAAGGCATTGTCTCACAAGTGGTTCTGGTGGTGGACTAGAAATCCATTGCGTTCTCCTTGCGCCAGTTCAAAATCATACTGTTAGCAGGCGTGCAACATTTGTGTGATCTCAGTGCCAGTCGATAACATTTGCTTTCTGGTACCGTTTAGCAAAAGCTTCAGGTAATGTTTGCAGAGATATACAATCCCAACAGGAGAAGGGGATGTAGCTCAGTGGTAGAGCGCATGCTTTGCATGTATGAGGCCCCGGGTTCAATCCCCGGCATCTCCAAGACCTTCTTTGTTGTCCAGAGATAATCGTTTTACCTCGATAGATCACAAAATCTTGTCGACTGAACGACCGATAGACTTGAAGCTGAACAGAATGCGTTGTCGTGGCCGAGTGGTTAAGGCGATGGACTAGAAATCCATTGGGGTCTCCCCGCGCAGGTTCGAATCCTGCTGTCAACGGTTGCGCAGTTCCACTATTAGCATTGTGCCAAATTTGTGTCACGCTTGTGCCTCCACTTACTGTTAAATTAAGTGAAAGGCATCTGCCTCAGTGATAAATGAACAAGGTTAACTAGTGGTTGAAGTTCACAGAGTGGAACTCCATTGGGGTCTCCCTGTGCATGTTCAAATCCTGCTGACAATGGCTGCACCGTTACGCTATTAGCAATGTGCAAAATTTGTTTCGCCACTGTGCCCCCCACTACCCTAGTGCCTTCACTACAGCGTTCACTGCCTTTCACTTGCTGCTAAAATTTGTTGTGTAGAGAGAATAGTTTACAAATACTACTGTTAGCAGGAGTGCAACATTTGTGTAATCTTACTGCTAGTCGATAGCATTTGTTTTCTGGTACAGTTTAGTAAAGCTTCAAGTAATGTTTGCAGAGATACACCATGTAGCAGGAGAAGGGGCATGTAGCTCAGTGGTAGAGCGCATGCTTTCGCATGTGTGAGGCCCCGGGTTCAATCCCCGGCATCTCCAAGGTCTGCTCAAAATCCTCTGTTGTCGAGAGACAACCTTTTCACCCAAATAGATCACAGAATCTTGTCCCAACCGTTGTCGTATTTTATTGTTTGAACGACTGATAGACTTGAAGCTGAAGAGCACGTGATGTTGTTGCTGAGTGGTTAATGTGATGGACTAGAAATCCTTTGGGCTCTCCCTGTGCACGTTGGAATCCTAGTGACAACAGTTGCACCGTTCCATTATTAGCAGGCCGGGTAACTCTGTGCAAAATCTGTTTCACGCTAGTGCCCCTGTGCCCTAGTGTCACTGATCCCGCACAGGTTCGAGTCTTGCCGACGACGAGTGCACCGTTCCACTGTTAGCAGGCCAGGTAACATTTGTTTCACCCTAGTGCCACCGGCAAATTCATTCTCTGATGGATCGTTAAGCAAAGCTTCAGGTATTGTCTGCAGAAACATACCATTAAATGAAAGGCATTGTCTCACAAGTGGTTAAGGTGGTGGACTAGAAATCCATTGCGTTCTCCTTGCGCCAGTCAAAATACTACTGTTAGCAGGCGTGCAACATTTGTGTGATCTCAGTGCCAGTCGATAACATTTGCTTTCTGGTACCGTTTAGCAAAAGCTTCAGGTAATGTTTGCAGAGATATACAATCCCAACAGGCGAAGGGGATATAGCTCAGTGGTAGAGCGCATGCTTTGCATGTATGAGGCCCCGGTTTCAATCCCCGGCATCTCCAAGACGTCCTTTGTTGTCCAGAGATAATCTTTTTACCTAGATAGATCACAAAATCTTGTCCCTTCCATTCCTTTCTTGTATGTTATTGTTTGAACGACTGAACGACCGATAGACTTGAAGCTGAACAGCATGTGTTGTCGTGGCCGAGTGGTTAAGGCGATGGACTAGAAATCCGTTGGGGTCTCCCCGCGCAGGTTCGAATCCTGCCGACAACGGTTGCGCAGTTCCTCTGTTAGCCAAATTTGGTTCACGCTTGTACCACCCTAGTGCCTCCACTTACTGTTAAATTAAGTGAAAGGCATCTGCCTCAGTGATAAATGAACAAGGTCAACTTGTGGTTGAAGTTCACAGACTAGATGTCCATTGGGGTCTCCCTGTGCATGTTCAAATCCTGCTGACAATGGCTGCACCGTTACGCTATTAGCAATGTGCAAAATTTGTTTCGCCACTGTGCCCCCACTACCCTAGTGCCTTCACTACAGCGTTCACTGCCTTTCACTTACTGCTAAAATTTGTTGTCTAGAGAGAATCGTTTACAAATACTACTGTTAGCAGGAGTGCAACATTTGTGTAATCTTACTGCTAGTCGATAGCATTTGTTTTCTGGTACAGTTTAGTAAAGCTTCAAGTATTGTTTGCAGAGATACACCGCATGTATCAGGAGAAGGGGGATGTAGCTCAGTGGTAGAGCGCATGCTTCGCATGTGTGAGGCCCCGGGTTCAATCCCCGGCATCTCCAAGATCTGCTCAAAATCCTCTGTTGTCTAGAGACAACCTTTTCACCCAAATAGATCACAGAATCTTGTCCCAACCGTTGTCGTATTTTATTGTTTGAACGACTGATAGACTTGAAGCTGAAGAGCACGTGATGTTGTTGCTGAGTGGTTAATGCGATGGACTAGAAATCCTTTGGGCTCTCCCTGTGCACGTTGGAATCCTAGTGACAACAGTTGCACCGTTCCATTATTAGCAGGCCGGGTAACTCTGTGCAAAATCTGTTTCACGCTAGTGCCCCTGTGCCCTAGTGTCACTGCTCCCGCACAGGTTCGAGTCCTGCCGACGACGAGTGCACCGTTCCACTGTTAGCAGGCCAGGTAACATTTGTTTCACCCTAGTGCCACCGGCAAATTCATTCTCTGATGGATTGTTAAGCAAAGCTTCAGGTATTGTCTGCAGAAACATACCATTAAATGAAAGGCATTGTCTCACAAGTGGTGGTTCAATCCCCGGCATCTCCAAAACCTTCTTTGTTGTCCAGAGATAATCGTTTTACCTAGATAGATCACAAAATCTTGTCGACTGAACGACCGATAGACTTGAAGCTGAACAGAATGCGTTGTCGTGGCCGAGTGGTTAAGGCGATGGACTAGAAATCCACTGGGGTCTCCCCGCGCAGGTTCGAATCCTGCCGTCAACGGTTGCGCAGTTCCACTATTAGCATTGTGCCAAATTTGTTTCATGCTTGTGCCTCCACTTACTGTTAAATTAAGTGAAAGGCATCTGCCTCAGTGATAAATGAACAAGGTTCATTTAGGCGTCAATAGGAGACTTCCGGTCGCATGGAGTAAGCACGCCGAACAAGCGCTGCATCGTTCCCGTGTTTTATTAGTTATGTATCCAGAATAAATGATTTTTTGAGTCAGTTTAAAGGATAGTAACACAATATAAGTCTGAAATATTGTTGAACTTGAAGATTGAAGAAAGAAGATTGTACTTTATATGTCGGCAGACCATACTAGATCGGCAACCAAACGAGTGGCCAAACTAACAATGGAGAATCAAGACATGGCGAATATGGTTCGTTCGATTCTACGGGAGGAGATTACAGCGGCTTTTGAGACGAACTTGAAGCCGATCAATACAGCACTAAAAAACCTCCAGGATAAAGTGGCAACTTGTCTTGGAAAAGTGGGTGAGCTAGAATCCGCCGCCGCCGACACAGAGACCCAGCTGGCTGCAAGGAAGTTGGACTGTGAAACATTTCAAGTAGAAATTAAGAAGCTGAAAAAGAAATGTGACGATCTTGAAAATCACAGTAGAAAGTTTAATTTGAGAATACTTGGACTACCAAACGGAATTGAGGCGGGTAAGCCAACTCAATTTGTGACTAATTTGCTTTATGAACTTTTTGGGGAAGGAGAGCTTGGTCCCCGGCCGCTGGTCAATGCCGCACACCTGCATCGGCGCCATCGAGAAGAACAATAGAGGACAAGAAAAGAGCAGGTGTATGATTGTCAGAGTCTACAGTTCCGAGGTGAGACAGAAAATCACCCGCCTGGCATCACAGAGAGGGAAGCATGGGATTTACTACCAAGAGAAGAGACTAAGCTTCTACCCCGACCTGACGGCAGAACAACGAGAGCAACGGGCCGCGTTTGATGATGTGAGAACTGCCCTTCGTAATACTAAGCTACGCTATGGAGTGGTACACCCGGGCAAGCTGATCATAACCATGGATAAGATCACGCATACTTTCCTAAAGGCATCGGAGGCAATGAACTTCTTCAAAACTACAATCGAGCCGACACTGCGGGATGAAGATGTTGATAAAGGAGAAGAACCGACATCGCGAGCTAAGAATGCTGATAAAGGAGAAGAACTGGGCTAAGTAGAGTTTTTGTTCAAATCGATTAGGCTAGTCTAAATTCTTTGGTTCAACATGGATATGGATTAAAAGGGAATGTTGGTATGAGGGGATTTATTTATCTCTTTTTGTTTGTTTGTTTTCGTTATTAGGCTATTTGTATGCCTATTTCTTTTTTCTTTTTTCATATTTTTTAGTTTCAACCCCTCTTGACTGTTTGAAATATATGCTTCAAATAAATAATGTGATAGCAGAATGATAAAGTAAATAATAAGAAAATAAATTTTCCTCAGGGACGATAACCTATGTCAATATCCTTGCCTAAGGAAATAGGCTGGAGTAACTGAACTTAAATAAAGGAATACCAACGCATGTCTGACAATTGATAGGTGATCTGTTCGATTTGTTTAATCAGGCTTAATGTTAGTTTACATTTCATATAAAGTCTATCCCTATATATATATATATATATATTTATCTTTTTTTAAAGCTTTTATTTTTTATTGTGGCCTCTACAGGCTGCTTTATTTCAAACACGGGCTTTACGGCGCTGTTGAGAGCTGCTTTTCTTTTCTTTTTTCCATGCTACAACTTTGCAAATTGAAGCAAGGTATGGGGAGTCAGAGAGAGGAATTTAATTTTTTTGTAGGCCTAGGCTTATATGCTTTTTGTTCCTATATAGTAAAGGATTATTCCTCTCTCGGGTTAAGGGGAGGGTGTGGGGTGGATAAAGGTTTGCGACTGGGGATCTCTCTTTTTCTTTTTTTCTTATGTTTCTTGTCATGGCACGTTTTCTATTTTATTTTCTTAATTGGAATCAGCGTTGAAAGTATTCAGTTAACGATTACTTCTTTAGATAGACAATGGTTAATCTAACGATACTGTCATGGAACGTGCAAGGAATAAATAACCGTTTGAAGAGAGCAAGTTGTTTTGATGTAATTAGTAGAAAAGCAGCACAGATTGCAATGCTCTGCGAAACTCACATCACGGTACAAAATATTGATATGGTTGGTAACGAAAAATATAAAGTCATTTCCTCATCATCTGCCACCAATAAGACAAAAGGTGTTATTATTTTAGCACACAACAATCTGAAATATTCAATACTGGAGAAAGGAAACGATCAAGACGGTAGAATTGCCTATGTGAAGGGGATGTTCAGTGGCACAAAGCTAGCATTGGTAGCAGGTTACGCACCAAATACGTATGACCCAATTTTTTTTTCTCACCTTTCTGAAGTTCTTGCAGGAATGGTAGAATATGAAGTGATTCTTGGGGGTGATATGAATGCAGTGTTTAACCCAATATTAGATCGATCAGATAATACTACTCTCACTCAAGCAACCCTAGCGTTACAAAATATGGCAACAAGAAATGCATTGATAGACATTTGGAGAATCAGGAACCCTGATTTAAAACAATTTACTTTCTTTTCAGCAAGGCACAAAACGTATTCTAGAATTGATTATATTTTGGTCTCTGCAAAGATGAATCATTTAGTTCAGAAAACTGACATTATCCATATGTCTGTCTCTGACCATCATGCAATGTTTTGTAAGTTGTCTTTCCCTAGTAGTCCTAAGGCAACTAGGTGGAGGTTCAATTTGAGTTTGTTATCTAATCAACAATTCTGTGATCAATTTAAAGAAAAGTTTGAAGAATTTATAGATATTAATCAAAACTCTGTCAA